TAAAGGCAAAAAAGGGGTTGTATGCGCTTCTATGCTAAAACGATGGTAATACAAGGTCTCGGAGTGAAAATTTAATTGACCTGGAAATCACAGATGGCGCAGGGGGTCCCTCTGCTGTCAATTACAACACTTTTTTTGCCTTTATTCCGTTCAAATGTGAGTTTATCGACTATCACAAAGCGTTCTAAATTGTCGTAAAATTGTCCTGACCCTTTCGATTCTCATATCAGAGCCTTCGATAATTGTATACTGATCGAAATATGAGAGCTCGACGCCATCTTGGTTCTGTCTGGACTGTTAAAAAATTTGTTTGAAAAATCCAAATTTTGTATGTGTCAGGACAATTCTTAGATGTGGCAAAGTTTCGGACAGTTTGGTCTAATACCCTAAAAAAAAGTGTTGTATTCGAATCGACTGATTTGAAGGGTGTTTCACTTCACCTTAAGGCGACGCCATATTACGAGAACGTACGTCCTTACGACTTTCGGCAATTCCAGATCTAAAACGCGTCTACTTTCCTGGTATTCCCTCAAGATATCATCGTACTGACGGCGCAGCTTCTCCATCTGCGAAATGGAGAGTTTCGAGTTGACCAGTAAATTCTTAAAGTTCCTGGCGGCGATTTGGAAGTTCTCCTTTCTCGTCCTGTGGTCCTCCATAGCGTTTTGCAGTTGTTTGGAAATGGCGACGTTTTTCGAGCAGTTCTCCATCGCCTCTCGAAGGAGTAACAGTCTGTTCTCCTTGCGAGCTTCCGCCTAAAAAAAAAACGTGACGGATTGAAGATTTACATTTTTACTTGCATTCACTACACAGAACGTACAGATCATTGTTTGAAGTCTGTTAAGGTGTTGTAAAATTGTCCTGACCTTTTCGATTCTCATATCAGAGCCTCCGATAATTGTATATCGATCGAAATATCAGAGATCGACGCCATTTTGGTTCTGGTCTGGGCTGAATTAAAAAATTTGTTTACAAAATCCAAATTTTGTATGTGTCAGGACAATTCTAAGATGATCAGGAGTGATGTGTCAAAGATCTAATATCCTTAAAAAAAGTGTATTCGAATCGACTGATTTGAAGGGGGTTTCACTTCACCTTAAAATCATTTCTACCTGTTGTAGTAGAGCGGCAAAGTCGACGCTTTTCCCCCGGAAAGGGACGAACGAGCTGTTGAGATAGGTCAAGGACTCGATGGGCTGCCACGTGGGAGATTTGCAATGAGCGTACATGATGCATTAACGCTTCCAGGGCTCCGATTTTACCATCGTATTACCATCGTTTTAGCAAAGAAGCGCATACAACACTTTTTTTGCCTTTATCCCGTTCAAATGTGAGTTTATCAATTACCAGAGTGTTCTAAATTGTCGTAAAATTGTCCTGACCCTTTCGAATCTCATATCAGAGCCTTCGATAATTGTATATCGATCGAAATATAAGCCCGACACCATTTTGAATGTGTCAGGACAATTCTTAGATGATCAGGAGTGACGTGTCAAAGTTTCGGACAATTTGATCCAATGCCCTTAAAAAAAAGTGTTGTATTCGAATCGACTGATTTGAAGGGGGTTTCACTTCACCTTAAAATCATTTCTACCTGTTGTAGTAGAGCGGCAAAGTCGACACTTTTCCCGGGAAAAGGAAGGACAAGCTGTTGAGATAGGTCGAGGACCCGATGGGCTGCCACGTGGGAGATTTGCAATGAGCGTACATGATGCATTAACGCTTCCAGGGCTCCGATTGCAAAATCCAAATGTTGAATAAGCGCGGCCTGTCCGTCCCCTGCCAAGGCCTCCTCCACTTGGGTGCCGACCAGCTGCAGCTCCAAACTCTCTCTCAATCTCTGCGACTCTCTCTAAACAGGAATTCCGAGAAATTGTAGTCTCTGAGATAAACATTCACATCATCGAAGGAGGCGACGATAACGCCGAGTAAGAGCCACGCGATAACGAGGTCTTCTTGACCTATGTCTGCCGCGTTTCGTCTCGAGTGCTTTTTTTCTTTTTTAAGGTGAAGTGAAACACCCTTCAAATCAGTCGATTCGAATACAACACTTTTTTTTTAAGGGGATTAGACCAAACTGTCCGAAACTTTGATACAGCCTGATCATCTAGGAATTGTCCTGACCCATTCAAAATTTGGATTTTTGGAAAAAATTGTTCAACTGTAATCAAATTAGTCGATTCGAATACAACACTTTTTTTTTTAANGGACCCCCTGCGCCATCTGTGATTTCCAGGCCAATTAAATTTTCCCTCCGAGACCTCCTATTTCCATCGTTTTGGCATACAAGCGCATACAACACTTTTTTGCCTTTATCCCGTTTAAATGCGAGTTTATCGATTACCAGAGTGTTCTAAATTCTCGTAAAATTGTCCTGACCTTTTCGATTCTCCTTTAAGAGCCTAAAAAATAAAAATAAAAAAAATCCAAATGTTGAATGTGTCAGGACAACTCTTAGACGATCAGGAGTGACGTGTCAAAGTTTCGAACAATTTTGTCTAACACCCTTAAAAAAAGTGTTGTATTCGAATCGACTGATTTGAAGGGTGTTCCACTTCACCTTAAGTATCGGTACTTACGACTCCCCTCGCTTTTTACTTGATGTCCAACTTTTGGGAAGTTTGTCCAGAAATTCGAGCGGGTTCCAGGAGGTCTAATACCCTTAAAAAAAAGTGTTGTATTCGAATCGACTGATATGAAGGGTGTTTCGCTTCGCCTTAACGGTCAGATATGAAAACGCCAAAAGCCAGGAATTTTTCCCGGATTTTCCTCTCCTCGAGAAAGGGAGAGAGACAGAGAGAGAGAGAGAGGTACCTCCCGCGCCTGCGCACTGGCGTTCTATTTCGGAGCGACCGACCGAGAGAAACCGCTCGTCCCGGCGTTTACGAGCGATATCCCCGACGAGAAATTCCGAAGGAAGCGTGTCACGTGCCGGTCGCGGGAGAAACCGTCGAATGCGAACCAGAAATAGACCGTTCGGGAAGAGACGGGGTGGAGGGGCCAGAGCAAACGTGAATGGGACCCCTCCAAAGTCGGCCGAGAGGGAAGGAGACAGAATCCGCGAGATGGACCGGTCGAAACGGATATACTCGAAGGTAGACAAAAGATAACGATCCCCTTCTCCGACGTCCCCTGAAGGACAACGCAGGGAATCCGTAAATATCGCTCGACCCGTCCTCGTCCTCGGAGGAAGTGGATCGGGATTCTCTCGGAAAGGACTCGAGAAAAAATGAGTATATGTGCCCATAATTATGAAAGTGGTCTAAGTCATATAGTTTTTGTTTCGAAATTACATTGAATTAATTTCCTTTGAAATAATGTGGCGTGAAATAACTGATAAACTCATTCTTTTTTTTTTTTTTTTAATTTTCACTTACACCACTTTCATAATTATGGGCACATATGAGCCCATAATTATGAAAGTGGTCTAAGTCATATATTTCTTGTTTCGAAATTACATTGAATTAATTTCCTTTGAATTGATATGGCGTGAAATAACTGATAAACTCATTTTTTTTCTTAATTTTCACTTAGACCACTTTGTGCCCATAATTATGAAAGTGGTCTAAGTCATATATTTTTTGTTTCGAAATTACATTGAATTAATTTCCTTTGAAATAATGTGGCGTGAAATAACTGATAAACTCATTTTTTTTTTAATTTTCACTTAGACCACTTTCATAATTATGGGCACATATGTAATAAAAGGAGAAGAAATTCATCAGCCCTTTTCGAAGACGCCGAAGAATCGCGCGTTGACTTGGAATTGATACACGTGTGTCTATTTAATTATTCGTCGCGTCTAAGAATTTCTTTCAAGTATACTACATCTGAAGGGGGTCAGGATTCTTTCGGAAAGAACTCCAGAAAAAATAAATATACATGATAAAAGGAGAAGAAATTCGGCGGCCCTTTTCGAAGACGCAGAAGAATCGCGCGTTGACTTGGAATCGGTACACGTATGTCTATTTAAGGTGAAGTGAAACACCCTTCAAATCAGTCGTTTCGAATACAACACTTTTTTTAAAGGGTATTAGACCAAATTGTCCGAAACTTTGACACAATTTTCACTGCGAGACCTCGTATTACCATCGTTTTGGTATACAAGAGCATACAACACTTTTTTTGCCTTTATCCCGTTCAAATGCGAGTTTATCGATTACCACAGTGTACTAAATTATCGTAAGAGCCTTCGATAATTGTATACTGATCGAAATATTAAAGCTCGACGCCATTTTGGTTCTGGACTAGACTGAATTAAAAAATTTCTTTACAAAATCCAAATTTTGTATGTGTCAGGACAATTCTTAGATGATCAGGAGTGACGTATCAAAGTTTCGGACAGTTTGGTCTAATACCCTTAAAAAAAAAAGTGTTGTATTCGAATCGACTAATTTGATTACAGTTAAACAATTTTTTCCAAAAATCCAAATTTTGAATGGGTCAGGACAATTCTTAGATGATCAAGAGTGACGTGTCAAACTTTCAAACACTATGATCTAAAACCCTTAAAAAAAAGTCTTGTATTCAAATCGACTGATTCGAAGGGTCTTTCACTTCCCCTTAATTATCCCTCTCGTCTAAGAATTTCTTTCAAGTACGCTACATCTATTTACGCGTGTCCGAAAAAAAATTCCCATCGATACTTCCATTTAAATCGACTTCGACCCCCTGCACGCGCCGATGAGACGCGTCGGTTAGCACGGATTCATCGCCGGCAGCTCTGGAGAGGGGAGGGGGCGAAATGGAGAGGGGTGGGTGGAGGGGAGGGGGGAAGAGGTGTCAACGTGGCCGCGTATCTCGGAGCGCGATCGAACGCTCGGTCGGCGACACGCGAGGGGAGGAAAAGGCGACCCGTTGACAGCGGCCACGAGGCGTCAACGTGGCCCGAGAAGGCCGAGCGCACCGAGTATTTGCAAGTTTCCTCCCCCTTTACCCGGAATAACGTTAACAATGAGTATTTCGGAAAAATATCGGTTAGAGGCCCTCCGAGTCCGGGGGGAAAAAAAATCTTCCTTCGATCCGATCGAATCGGTCCTTCCGTCAAGTTAACCAGTTGTGTTTTCATGACGAGTATACTCACGAAAACACACGTTTCAAATAGGTCGACACAGTTAACTGGTTAAGGTGATGAATCTCCCCGGGGAACGTACCCGCCCCAGGAAATAAAACGGGCCAAGAGGTTCCCCGGAGAAGATTTAAAACGGGTATGGTTCGTTAGAACAAAACTATCGCGAACGATCGATCTCCCTAACCTCCTTTCCCGGCCACCCCGAACGCGTCCATAGTATTTCCTTACGTCGAGGAGACCTGGAGTCCATCCCACGATTCCGAAAAAGCCCTCGGACGTGAAGATTCCCACGTCGCGACTGCGAGTTCCGTTTCCGAGACGCGGCGTCGGGAGGGAGAGAGAGGGGGAGAGAGAGAGAGAGACTCACCCAAGAGCAGGAGCTTGAGTTCCCTGCGGGCGTCTCGCTTGTCCCTGCGGAGCTGTCGCTCGATCTCCTGGTTGATGCGCTTCTGCTCCTTGGCCTCCTCCGACAGGCAGCACGCCATGGTCGGGTCGGGTCGGGGCGGGTCGGGGCGCGTCTGGGTCGGGGATCCGCCAGGGCGGCCGGCCGGGCCGGGCTCAGCAGTCGAGGGGACGGAGAGGGACTCCTCCCTGGAGCGGCCGGCACGGACGACGCATCAAGCCCGCCCGGAAGAATCCACGGGTCGCGCACGCACGGGACACGCACGGGGCACGCACCTTGCACTCACCGGTCCACTCCCGCGAACAGAGGGGACGACGCCGGGCCGCTGGGCGTGGTGGCCCCTCCGCTGGCGCCGCTGCGGCCCTCGGGAGTCCTGGGCTGGTGGGCGCCGCGCGCGCTACTCCGGGTCGGCGCGCGAGCGCTCTCTCGGCGAGCCCCCGAGCGACGCCTCGCGGCGACAGGCGGCCCGCGGCTTAAGTACCTCGGCCGCGGGGCGGCAACGTCGCACGGGCGGCGGACAGCGGCAACGTCGCCGGCGACGACGCTGCGGCGGCGGCGGCAGCGGCGGTGGCGGCTCCCGGGAATCCTGTTAGGCAAACCAGATTTGGCGAAGCCCGACAGGAGTCGCGCGGCGCGCACGTGTCGCGCCTCCGTGGCCTAACGAGATTATGGCGGCGGAGCGAAAGGAGCGGCCGCGCCGCCACCACCCGTCGGGAGGAGGTACGGAGGACGCGAGAGCCGAGACCGAGAGTCGGACGGCCGGACGACCTCTCCCCTCTCTCTCTCTCTTGCTCTCACGAGGCCCTACCGGGCGAGCCGCCGGCCGGGGATTCGCCCTCTCGCTCCGTCTCGCGACGCGGACACGCCGCTCTCCGATCCCGTCGCACCGAACGCCCTCTCCCGGTGCGTTCCATCCGTCGGACCCGATCCTCGATTAACCGAACGACGAGAGACTCTACTTACGGAGACTAGGACCGCGAGACTACCGGCGCAACCGGCGAGCCTCGCCTTAGGAAGTCCGCCAAAGGTCGCGCTCCGCGGTTACCGCCTTTCGCAAGATGGCGTCCGTCGCTACTCGACGCCCGGCGAGCCGCGAGCCTCGAGCGCGCCGCCGCTGGGCCCCCTCCCGAGCCGCCGGCGCTCCCTCTCTCTCGCGCCCGCGGAACTCGCGTCGCTTTCTCTCGCTCCCACTCCGGCTACCGGGTTCCGCCGAGCCCCGCCCGATGGCGCCACTACGGCCCGCTCGCCGCGCCCCGGAATCGCCGGATTTGAATCCTCGGGACGTTCCCCGCCCTGTTTCGCGTCGAGTAAACCAGAGATCGTGCCGTAAATCCACGATAAACCGAAGGCAGCACTCGCCAAATGATTTCTAGTAGTG